TTTTTTTCTCCCTCCGCCTTCCCCGCCTCCAGTTTGATCCTAGTTGCGTCGATTGATGGGTACAACATTAAAAATCACAATAACTCTTGCAGTTAATTACAATCAAGCGTAACATCATTAACATCATTGTTTTTAGTGTGTTTAATTATTTTGTGGTATTTTTCATCCGAACCGTACACAATTTCTCAGGTATAGAAGCGTACTGCATTCTAAAGTGTGAAGATCAGGAGATTCGACTGAGTACTACGGAAAAGTCGAACAAGCCAGAATGGAAGGACCGAGTGACCTTCTACAGAAAGAAGCCGACAGAAGATGTTGTCATTGAGGTAAGGTACAAGACTTGCCAATACATGGAGAGAAAGAGTCGAGTGAATTATTTCCTATGTTGTCATTTCAGTACGAGACGTGGTAATAGTAACAGACTGATCGAAAGAGTCAAGTGAATGATTTCCTATGTTGTTATTAAAGTTCGAGACATGCTAATACATTGAATGAAAGAATCGAATGAATTCTGTCCCATATTGTCATTGAGGTGTGAGACATGATTACTTACACGTTGACCGAAAGAGTTTAATGTATTCTCTTTTGTCTTTCTTATACCTGGTGCACATTGCAGAATGTTTCAACGAATCTCCATTTGAAACAATTTAGTTTAATTACAATTTGACCAAATTCCCAAATCCAAACGTGTTTGATTTCAGCTATCTAGTTTAAGTTTAGTGAGAGTTTTACGGCATTTGCAACACCACAAGGTCATATAAGTGCCGAAGATTAGAGTTGTTACAAGTGGGTAATAAACACAAAAATGAGGAGGAGAGATAAGGACAGATTTTTTTATAGGAAGGAAGAAGCAAACCATATCAAAGCACCCGCCGACCACCCACCTTCCACCAATCATAATTTGATAGACCTATGCTTGACACATTTAGATGGAAAAAAACCCATAGATCTCTTCGTAAAAGGCCGGTAGTCCATTTCAGTGGATGGTTGGCAGGTACTCTGGTGTGGTTTGCTCCTTCTTTCCTATCAAACATCCATTGTCCTCACCTCTCCTCCTTCCTTTTTGTGTTTGTTACTCTCTTGTAACACCTCTATTCGTCAGCACTTATTGTGTTACAAGTGAAGCAAAACTTTTGCTTAAACTAAGAAGTCCGTTTCGGGGTTTATGCACGGTATCACAACAACCAGTTACAGGTATTTATGTGAAAAAAGTATCCACCTCAAGCGGACCCAACTTTCAGATTGTTAATAATTTAACTCTCCAGGTGTGGGACTCGAACCTCCTAAAAGACGAGCTGGTCGGCACGTTGACCCTGCCCATGTCCAAGGCTCATGAGTACACAGGAGGAAATGTAATACGCCGGTGAGTGTTTGGGCAATGGTCACTGAAGGTGTAGAGTGAAGTGTGCTGACTGCATGCATGATTAATTGCTTCTCACAGTCAACAATTTACTGTACTCCATTTAATTATGATGGAGCTATCGGCCAAAAAATGATGTTAGGGTTAAATGTTAGGTTTTCAATTGATGTCATTTTCTTTAAGTCTAATATGTCTTTTGTTATTTCCTACTTATAAATTGTACAAGCAACACCTATTTATTGCTTTGGGGCTCATTTTGTCGGCACACCTCTCTGGGTTTCTTCTTTGGGTGTCGGGTCTGAAGCAGACATGGGACATTATGGTACCCACCCTGTTGTTGTCTTCTTGGTCAGTTCGGTTAATTGTCATAAAGTTGTTCAGGTCATCTTTGAGTGTTGTTCTCTGCTTTCCCCTGCTCTCCTTCCCACACTGTAGCAGTTTCTCACAAGTCGTTGTTCTATTTATGTACCAAAGATTCTAACACCCCTTTTAAATATATA